ATCACACCACCTGAGAATTAATTAGGCTCCGTCTGATTTGACTAGTGAGATGGCAGTAAAAAGGGTAGATAGATAATGGAGAAATAGTGTTAATCTTATTGGTTTGATACACATAGGGAGAAAGTGAGTCGAGGATTAACACACACCAATTACATTAATAATTTAAAAAAACTACACGTCAAAAACCTTCCACAAAAAGGCCGTGCGCGACCGGCCTCAAGCAGTTGTCCCTTGGGCTCTGCGGTCACGCTCCCAGGTCGTCAAGACCAACACTAATCCAATTTCCTTTTCAGGTTCATCAAGAAATACCCTTCCACGGTGTGGGCAGCCGGGAAGTGACATCAGCCCTCATACCCGTAACAGCACAAGAGACCAAGGTGGTCACATTCAAATCCTTCCTACACCTCCTAATACCTCTCTTATCCTCCCGACTAACCCTCCTCACGTCTCTTTATCACCTCGCACCGCTAGGGCAAACGATTCGAGTACGTGGAACGCCATTCCTGGTCTCCTGAAACCACGCTCTAAACTACACGTAGGAGCTTTTAACGTACGAACACTTTGCCAAATAGGACAGCAGGCTTCCTTAGCTAAAACTTTAGAATCTCGCGCCATCGATGTGTGCTGCGTCTCCGAAACGCGCATACAGGATCCGAGTAGCGTCATTCATTTGACCTCACCATGCCAAAATAAAGAACCGACTCGATTTACGCTTCGTGTATCTGGAAGCCCTGATTCTGCTTCCCGTGGCCTCGCCGGCGTAGGTATAGCATTGAGTCCTAGGGCAGAACTAGCTCTCTTAGAGTGGATCCCAGTAAACAGTCGTTTGTGCGCTGTCCGACTGAACGGAACAGTAAGAATCCGGAAAGATAGGGACACTCGTCGTTGCCTCTTCGTCGTCTCTGCCTATTCTCCCACTGACTGCAGCTCAGATGATGTAAAAGATGAGTTTTACAGAAAGCTTTCGGACCTTCTCCGAAAAGCTAAGCGCTCGGATGTAGTAATAGTGGCCGGTGACTTTAATGCTCAAGTAGGTAAACTAAGCGATAAGGAAAGACACCTAGGTGGATCCTATGGTGTCGTGGCTCAAAGAACAGATAATGGCGACCGTCTGTTGCAGCTATGCTCAGATAACCGCCTGTTCCTTGCAAATACTAACTTTAAGCATAAGGAAAAACATCTTTTAACATGGCGACCCCCTAATTCGTCCCAACGTTGGACCCAAATAGATCACATCGCTATCAGCCACCGATGGAGGGGCTCGATAGAAGACTGTCGCTCATTCTGGAGCACATGCCTAGATTCAGATCATGCTCTAGTGCGAGCGCGTATTTGCTTGCGTCTTACTGGACGTAGGAAAGATCCTGCAAGGAAACCTCTTAGGGCCCTACTTAATGATAGTCAAGCTAAGAATATATTTCAGGAACAACTAGGAAAACAGTTAGGCAGCCATGTATGTGATGCCCACCCCGAGGCAGCATGGAACGATATCCGAAAAGCTGTGGAAACAGCAGTGATATCTGCTAGTAAGGTAAACCGTAGGTTAGGGAGCAACACTGGATCTCAGCAGCATCTATCGCACTGATAGATGCTCGGAAACTCATTCCACCTGGCTCTGAACATAATGAAGAGCGGAGTCAGCTTAAGCGCAAGCTGACAAGAAGTCTACGCAATGATCGCGAACAGTGGTGGGTAGCGAAAGCAAGAGAGATGGAAAAGGCAGCGGCAATAGGTAATAGCAGACAATTGTTTAGACTCGTTAAGGAAACCGGAATTAGGAACCCGACCGTTAGCGAAACAATCTCAGAGAAAGATGGACATATGATTCATTCTCAATCCAGGAGATTGGATCGATGGGCAGAACACTTTAGGGATCAGTTCAACTGGCCTTCAGCCACACTTCGGTTTCCCACGATCTCCAGTCAACCTGAATGGCAAGTTAATGTAGGTCCTCCGTCCCTTTACGAAGTTGAAAAAGCCATAGGAAATCTGAAACGAGGGAGAGCAGCAGGCCCTGACAGGTTTACTCCTGAGATTTTTAAGGATGGTGGTCCAGTATTAGCAGCAAGATTAACCGAGGTCTTAGGTAGAATTTGGGAACTGGACGTAATCCCATCTGACTGGTCTCAATCACTGATTGTGCCAGTCTATAAGAAAGGACAAAAGTCCTCTTGTGACAATCACAGAGGAATCAGTTTGACTAATATAGTGTCTAAAATATTAGCCTCAATAATACTTCGACGCCTAACTAAAGCTCGTGAAGAGCAGACTAGAGAAAACCAGGCTGGTTTTCGACCTGGACGTGGTTGTATAGATCAGATATTCACACTACGTCAGGTTCTAGAACAGAGACACACATTCAGACGCCCCACAATGGTAGTATTTCTCGACCTTAAGGCGGCATTCGACTCTGTTGATCGTGAGGTTCTATGGCAGTGTTTGTCACTGAAAGGAGTACCAAAGAAGTACATTAACCTTATAAAGGCTCTCTACTCGAACACAACTGGTAGAGTGAGAGCTTATGGCGAACTGTCATCAGAATTGATCACCTCAAGTGGTGTTCGTCAGGGCTGTCCACTCTCCCCATTCTTGTTCAACTTTGTCATTGACGTACTTTTAGAGATAACACTCTCCTCATCTAAATTTCCAGGGGTTGAACTTCTACCAGGAGGTTCACTTGTTGACTTAGAATATGCAGATGACATAGTTTTATTTGGTGAAGACGCTGACAAAATGCAGAGTCTTCTGACCACTCTAAGCAACAATGCAAGCATGTTCGGGATGCGATTCTCTCCCTCGAAATGCAAAATGTTGCTTCAGGATTGGGTTACATCGACACCCGAACTAGTGATAGGGAGTGAAGTAGTTGAGTGTGTCGACCGCTTCACTTATCTTGGAAGTCTCATCAGCCCTTGTGGTCTGGTGTGTGACGAAATCTCAGCACGGATACAGAAGGCTCGACTAGCTTTTGCCAACTTGCGTCATTTATGGCGTAGGCGAGATATCCGTCTATCAACCAAAGGACGTGTTTACTGCGCAGCAGTTCGTTCCGTCCTACTTTATGGCAGTGAAACATGGCCGGTAAGAGTAGAGGATATCCGTAGGTTACTAGTATTCGATCATAGGTGTCTTCGAAACATTGCTCGTATATCATGGGACCATCGAGTAAGTAACACAGTTGTTAGGACACGGGTACTAGGTAAGGATGGCAAATCAATTGATGACGTAGTGAAACTTCATCAGTTGAGATGGCTGGGACACGTGTTACGTATGCCCAACGACCGACTGCCTCGACGTGCTATGTTCAGTGGTATAGGAGTAGGTTGGAAGAAAGCTAGGGGCGGCCAAACCAAAACATGGCACAAGTCCATGAAGTCACTGACAAGTGAACTGAGTCATGTTGGTAGGTGTAGACTACCTGGTTGGGGACCGCGAGATGACAGCAACCGATGGTTAGAGACCCTGAATGACATGGCTCAAAATCGTTTGCAATGGCGCAGGTGCATCCACTCTCTGTGTTCTCCCAAACTCTAATCTTCTGAATTCTTCATGTCCCTTTTTTCCTCTTTCCAAATTTCTTTCACTGGATTATACTCTTTAAATAACATCTCCAAACCCTAATCTTCCCGATTACTGCTTATACTCTTGCTACCTCTACCACTACGGGATTTGAATCGACCACTGCATCTCTGTGCTAATGTGGTGTGGCAACTCGAACTGATGTACGTACGTACGAAGTTCTACGTTGTTACTGACTGACTGACTTAAAAAAAACTAGGAATTTATAAACCTAGATCTCTAGCACCTATTTCATAGCCATAGGAAAAGTCGGTCACCTGACCCAATCAGAGATTCTTCGGATTGGCTCTAACGTAATATATATATATATATATATATATATATATATATATATATATATTGCTAAAAACATCAACCGTGAAATATCTACTACTGGATCATATACTAATTCAGTTGCTCCAGAATTTACCAAAGGTTATAAGAATTCCGACTTTTCTTAACAAGTTGGCTTATTATACTTTAATGTTCCATCAGGATTTTTGACAGACTTCCAACCTACGAGTATACTTATTGCATAAAATTCAGCTCCACTTCAGATCTTTTAGTCCTATAGTTTATTGGCTTCTGGATAGCAACATCCAACCAGTACATTGATCTCTTTACTCAACAATCCAGGTTAACATAAGTCAAATAGATGAGGGATAGTAAACCGATACTACCGCCTTTCATAGCCTGTTGGGTTGTTTTAGCTAACTAACAATTAACGTAGTAGAATAACACGAATTCATTATATTTTGCAGTTTCTCATCAGCTGTTTACAGCTCAGACAAAATAGTGCTATTCATTAAAAACTAGCTTATTTACTTTAGACCATAGTATCGAGAGTGTTTTCATAAGCTATTTCATCACCCTTGCTTTAACCCAAGTCTTGGAAAGAAAGGCTCCTTTTTGGTCATCGCATTATCTGTTAAAGGTTTCATCCCAAGCAAGACTTTTAACATACGACCTACTTATATTATTGATTATTTTTCAATGATCCCCTTAAGCCAAGGATATAATCGCGATATTCATTTAAGCATACACATATACAGTTACTATTCCACCATTCAAAATAACAATAATCATAAAAACAGTAATTTTATTTGAAATGGATTGGATTATCCTACTGTTAATATTTTAACTGAGATTTCATCAGAATTGGTTGGCATATTTGCATTCTGTGCGGATTACCTCAATATAGCTATTGTGCCAAAAATTAGTATAGAATAGATGGAATGTGCAGAAGTGAGCGGCTTTATGAACTCAGTATCTAAGTTTTCGAAGTAGACGGTACAGTACTAGGTCCCAGTCTCGGAGTGAATGTCAACTGCGAGATGCAGACACATCCGGTTGACGAGTCCCAAATAGGACAAAACCTGAGTCCTGGATTCCATTGCTAGCGACATTTAATCTATTCTAAGGTAAAATTGTAGTAAACCTACATGATGAGCTGGTACAATGATAGGATGCCATGGTCCACCATTTCTCCAATTGCACTGAGTATGTAAATCTTGACGATATAAAGACTTCCAATTGACCTGTATGGAAGAAAGTAATAATATATAGAATTCTACGATATGAAATAAAAAGTAGATAAAAGTATAATCATTAATATTACATGTCAATGAGTGGCATATACGCTACGAAAAACAAAACTGTCCCATTTATGATAATATCTATGTTCGCAAAATACCAACAAAAGTTTATGGGTTAGCAAGTGGAATGATACACCATAAAGCTGAAAAATCATATTAAGAGCAGTTGTAGTTTGAATACGTCGTGATCAGTGAACATTATTTATTTATTACTATTGATGGCCCTATTCAATATTATATATTTAGTACAATATAAAATTCTCAAGTGTTAACCCGCATCAACTAAAACGTGAAATCTACTGACAGGTGTCATTTACCTAGCTTCATTGTTTGATATTGCAACTGACCGATTCGGTTCGCAATTGACCTCCTGCGGGGTTGAAATATCTACAATTGATCACTGAGTAGTGACCAATAATATGTTTGTCTAGTCTTTTAGTGAGGATCGAATTCTATCGAATGCAATGTGATCGATTAGCCTACTTTCAATAACCTAAGAGATCAACATGGTGTTAGCAATGTTGAATCACTTAGACTAATGACATTACATCTTAATCTATGGAATTCGATCACCATTAAAAGATCAGACAAACATGGGACTAACCATTAATCTGTGATCAATCAATCGTAAATATACCCTTCAACAATTAGATAATCAATGAATTGATAATGATGAATTTTACAGTGAACTAATAACCAATCAATTATGACTAGTAAGTATACGACTAGATTTCAATAGAAGGAAATAAAAACTTCGGTTATTAAATTATACTAGGAACAATGGCTTAGCAGCCAAAGCATTCGGATTTCAAGTTATGAGATTCAGTCCCACTTCACTTAGTTCATTTCAAGTAACAGAGAGTAATTAGCACCACTAGACCACACACACACACACTTCATAGCTCAAAACCAAGTGTACATGGTAAATGACTTCCATTAAAACCAGAATATAAGCATCTAAAAAGTAAAATGCTTGTTTAAAAAAATTTAATATTAAAATTACTTACCTCACTCAAATTAAAAGAATTTGAAGGATTACCAGAATAAGATAATGCAAAAGTTGATTCATTATCAGTGTCAAAAGATTGAATATGATCACTTTTCATGGACACATCACAATCATGTACCTTAAAATTGTCACCATCATCAGTGATATTACTATTATTGATGATAGAGCTTTCAAAAAGGGATTTTGTCTCATTACAAAGTGAATTTGTAGGTTTATTTACACATAAAAGACAATCCAGATGGGTACCTAGATTGATTTTTTGTGTTTACAATAAAAAAACAAAAACAAATAAACACATTACCTGAATATAAGTTCATTGTGGATTTGTTGAATAATGTGTTAAACAATCCAGCACCTACACACAAACGATACCAAAGCAAATTATCATCACAAACAAGTTGCCAAGTCTTGGAAACCTACAAAAAGAAAAAAGAATAGAGAAATATGGAGACATGTGGGGTGGAACCTGGAACATAAGTGCATCGATTGAAGTTGCTAAAAGTGAGATGGAAAAGTTCCATTACTAATGATGGGTTTGTGGAAATTGTTTAACTTTGTACCTTGTATCACAGACTAACTGTGGATAGACAACCATAGCTATTTCGCTTCAGCTTAGGAACCTACGGCAGCGTTGTGAATTGACCAAGGTTAGAAATGTCAATCATTTGATAGAAACAGAATGTTCTGAAGGACAAGAGCCGTAAAGACTGAAGGTCCTAGGTTTGATCCCTGGTAAGGAAACCTTGATTAGGGAAGAACAACTATCCAGTGCTTAACGGTATTCAATGGTGATATATAGTGAAAGCGAAATTGATGGAAAAAGTATAGTGGATTGGTAACATTAAGTAAATATTTTGAATAAAGGAAATAAGTATTAAAACGGCAAGCGTTAGTGAAACTATCTCGGACAAGAACGGAACTGTCAGTCAATTTGAGTCCAAATTAAATAAACGGGAAGAACACTATGGAACAGTACAGCCACTCTATAGCAACTCTCCAGTTACGAGCAATCTCTAAACAACCTGAATGAGAAACTGAAAAAAGTCCTTCAATTCCTAATGAGGTTATAAATGTTATAAATAATGTGACGCGAAGGAGGGAAGACAGTTCAGACGGATTAGTCCTGGAAATATTGGAGGATAATCGTCCAGTTTCAGCAGTTAAGTTGACTGTAACATTGGTTAGAACCTGAGAAGTAGGCGAAGTCTCATTTAACTGATCTCGATCGTACCAGTTTACGAGAAAAGGACAAAATTCAGAAAGGAATCAGTATGACTAATATAGTGTTCAAAATATTGGCCCTTACAAACATTCAATGCCTAGGGCTCATGAAGAGTAAATCCAAGAAAGTCAGGTTGGTTTCAGATAAGGAGTAAGATGAATGGACTAAATTATCACTTTACAACATATTTTATAACACAGGCATACTGTCCAATGTCCGATTATAGATGTATTTGACCTTAAAGTAGCATTCGACTATGTCGATCGAGAGATTTTGTGGTGGTCTGTCAATGAAAAGGGTACCAAAGAGTTGCATCAAGCTTTTAAAGGACGATTACTTTGACGTTATTATTTGAGTTAGAGTTTATGGATAACTATCATCAAAATCGTCAACTTCAAGTGGTGTTCGCCAGGACTTTTCACTTTCTTTTTTAAATGACTTTGTCATAGACACTTCTAGATATGACACACCTGTAATCTAAATTTCCAGGGGTTGATCTCTTAACTGTAAATTCACTTGTTGATTTAAAATACGCAGGTGATACATTTTTGTTAGATAAAGACGAAATGTTGGTTGGGGTCCGCGCAGTTATCGTAACCAGTGGTTGGAGACTCTGAGTGATATAGCTCAGAACTGATCACAGTGGCGTAGTTATATACACACTTTGTTTTCCCTTAAACTGTGAGATTAAAAATACTTCATTACCTTTCTTTCTACGAACTGATTCTTTCGTCTTATAAACAATTATTTTTAACACATTACTACCACTGAAGTAACTACTTCTATGAATTTGGCGATCATCTTGTTGTGCTAATGAGATGTGGCAACTTGGACAGATGCATACATGTGCCTGGTCCTACGTTGTAGATAACTGACTGCCCAGGAAAGGACCTGAGTATTTTGATGGAAGACCTAAACGCTAAAGTCGGAATGGACAACACGGTATAAAAATGTCATGAGATGACATGGGATAGAAAAAATAAACAGGAATGGTGAGAGATTTGCTCATTTATATCCCTTCGAAAAATGGTTATAAGTGACACTATTCCCACGCAAACACATACATGAAGTTACATGGGTCTCTCCGGACAAAACTACAGAGAACCAGAGAATTCAATAGAACTTTAAGCAACGGTTCCAAACCTCACAAGATCTAATTAAAGAAGAGTGAACTACTATAGGGAACAACTGGTAAAGGATTAAGAAAGCACTCACTTCAACATGATAGGATGTTTTTGGCTCTAAGAATCGCTATCATAAAAATGCATCTCTATCAATACTCTGGGCAAGATTCGAGAAAGGACAAACAATAAGACAGAAATTAACAACAATTGAACAAGAGCAGAGACTGAATACACAGAAACAAACGAACGATAGAAAAGGAGCATTAGAGCCTATAAGTAGAAATAAGTGGAAGTCCTGGCAAAAGACAAACGAAAAAGCAGCGAGAAGGAAATAATGAAGTAACTTTATGGTGCAACGAGGAAACTAGCAGAGAAATATTGTAAACCAGAAAGACCAGTCAAGGACGAAGAAGGCAAGCCAATCACTGAGATCCAAGAACAGCGAAACAGATGGCACAAATATATACTGATCCAAGTTGGTCCATCTCACGTTAGTGAAGTAAGAGAAAGTAACAACATGAGAAGCAGAGGAGAACAAACAATATCAACTTTTTTTCAAATAATGGATGCACCCGTGCCATAGAAAACGATTGCGAGCCGTGTCATCCAAAGTCTCTAACCATTAGTTAAGACGATTACGAGGACTCAACCCAGGTATTATAAACCTATTAACATGGCTCAGTCATCAATGACCTCATAGATTGGCACCCATATGTACAACATGACACAAAATCCTTCCACATCAAAAAATATATATCACGGAATCACCAACTCACTTGGGCGCAATGAAATATGTCTCGAGGTGATAAATATTGTAAGATATGTAAAGAAATTTCAACAGGTAAATATGCAATAAAATCTCGTTTCAACAATGGTTTTATAGTTTTTTTTATATGCAACAATTCGCCATGTGAACATTGATCAATTAAAGCGGATAACTGAGCAAGTCGATCATGACTACATGAAGGATTGTTGGCATTTTCAAATTCATTTAAACGGTTTGTTGAACTGTAACTAACATCGCATAATGATGGAGTATGGATTATATTATTTCTTGATTTATCCAACAGGCGGGGATATTTCAACTAAAATAATATTGTATTTTGTGGTGATTTAAATGATCTTACATCTTTTTCGAATGTTCTAAAATAAAGCAATATAGATTAAAATTATCCTTATATAAAAATAACATACTCTGAGCAGACTGACTGTACACATCTTTTCACCTTTGTACATGTTGGAAAAGCTTCAAGATAAGACATTTAATAATACCTAAAATACAAAATAGTTTAAAAGAACTTGATCAGATGAGGCCAAAATGACAGTATATCAAACAATATATTGATCCAATATAGTAAGATGTAGGTGCTGATAAATTTCTCTCTAAGTTACTTTCTACAAGTTTATATTAAATTACAGCACATAACTTACTTGCTACACATAACACAAAATGAAAACATATTGTCACAATAAATGGCTTTACTCAATATTATATGTTTGGTACAACAGAATTTTCAGCACAATAAATAAAAAAAGATAATTCAGGGAGAAAGTCCTTTTCGACATTATCATTTACAAACGTTTTACAATTATATTTAAAGTCTTGAGAAAGTCTCACAATCGAAGTCTGTTGTCTATCTGAGACCCGTATTCAAAACTTTAGTGAAGCACTACAAATTCGCTATCCATCTATCACTTCACAAAGCTTGTTCAAAGTGTATTTATCTGGAGACCCTCTGGCATCTTCGTCTGATTTAGCTGGTGTCGGGGTCACACTAAGTGATAGAGATGAGGCAGCATTGTTCAATTGTGTCCCCATTAAATCAGCTATGTGCTGTTAAATTACAAGGTTCCATCAAAGTAAGGCCCCCCCTGGTACGGCCGAGAGTGGGGAGAGTCCGCCCTCCCTCTCGAGAAGCTCTCACATGGCCACGCGTATACAGCCTCTGCCAGGGAATTCTTACTCACTGCCTTCTCGTGGCATTACTGTTGTTCACGAAAATGAGAGGACGAAAAGCGAATATCCGGAGCTTGAACCGGATTCCAAACCAATGGTGCACATGGGCTCCAGTATCCTGCGGGAACAAATGGCGTATGAACCAATCATTGGTCATCGGCTACCATGGAACTGCATCTCTTTACGTTGCTCCACTGCCTTGTGGATCAGACCTTCGGGTCAAAGGCTTGGGGAGTGGCCGCCTAAGAAAACCACGTGCTTCGGTTTGAGCACCCGGGCAGTATCACAGCCCTTACACATATCAAGTGAGATTTGTGTGGCGCATATGTATTTGGTCCCTCCTTGTACCAATATCTATGTGTTAAAATAAATAAAAATCAAAGTAGGAAGAAATCCGTACGAGAAACGATGTCTTTTCATTATCTTCGCCTACGCTCCAACAGATTGCATCCTGGATGCGATCAAGGATAAATTTTATCACCAGTTAGCAGTTCTTCCACAGAAACTGCGTTCGACAGATATTGTAGTACTAGTCTGGGACTTGAACACTCAGATCAGGCATCTGGGCACAGAAGAGGGTCATTTAGGTAGTCAACGGGAACTTATTGGTCGCAGGTCATATAACGCTGGCCGTCTACTGCAAGTGTGTGCAGACCATAACCTGTTTCTGTCTAGCACCAACTACCGACACAGTCATCGCCGATGTGCCACCTGGCGCCCTCCCTCTGCATCTCAAGCCTGGACTCAGATTGATCACATCGTAATCAGCTACCGCTAGCGTGGTTGTGAACAAGACTGCCGCTCACTTTGAAGTACCTATCTGAACTATAATTATGCCCATGTTTGCTCTAATCTTACCTTACTTTTCAGTGACCAACAAATTCATCGTCCTAAAAGCACCGATGACAGTAAATTGGTTGCAACTAAATATCAAACCGAGCTAGGTTCAAGGTTAGTTATCATCCCATCGAAAAGTACAGATGAGCATTGGTTGCAATTACACGACGTCATGAAAATGATGAGTAAAGTCGCTTGCAGCTTCGCGAAACGTCCCGCTTATAAACATTGGGTTTCTTCTGGCTCCTTACAAATCGTTGAAGCCCTTCGGTCTACTCCAGGTGACTGTGAGTTTGACCACAAACGACGACTGTTTCGAAATAAAACCGGACAAATCTTGGACCGAGAAGCCTGGCGGTCGGGGCGTACCAATGAGTTGGAAGCAGCAGCTGCATCTGGTAACCACCAGAAGCTCTTTGAACTCATCCGAGTCACTGGCAGTAAGAAGTCTGGTGTGAGTGGAACAATCTGTGAAAATGACGGAACACCAATCACTAACATCAATCAACGTCTTGAGCAATGGGCAGTTTTTTTGAGAAACAGTTCAACTGGTCTGTTGTCTAGGCGACATTGATCAGACTGCTTTGCCTTCCATGGCCTGTGAAGACTGATTCACCAAATGAGGCGGAAATCCTCAAGGAACTCCAAATATTGAAGCGCTAAAAATCACCGGGTCCAGATAACTTACCTCCAGTCAGTCAGCTACAACGTAGGACCAGGCACATATATGCATCGGTCCAGGTTGCCATACCTCATTAGCACAGCAAGATAAACACCGGATTCATAGGAGTGGTTAGGTCAAGGTGGTAATATAAAAAAAAAAGATGGCATATAAGGATACAGTACAGGAAGAAAGAATTAGTTAGTAGAAAGAAAGATATGAATTGATTTTAATCTCTTAGTTTAAGGGAAGACAGGGAGTGTATACACCGACGCCATTGTGATCGATTCTAAGCCATGTCACCAAGAGTCTCCAACCATCGGTTACGAAAGTCACGCGGACCCCAACCAAGTAGTGTGCATCTACCAACGTGGCTCAGACTAGAAGTTAGTGACTTCAAGCACTGATGCCACGTTTTGGTTTGGCCGCCCCTAATTCTCTTCCAACCATCTCTAACACCCGTTAGCACTGCACTACCCTTTTTGAAGATGATGGCGACCTTCTGGTTAAGGAAATGACTGCGTTGTTTGCAGAGGTCTGGCAATCCGAGTGTTCCAACATCAGGGAATGAGTCGATATTTGTTCCCATCTTTAAAAACGGTTCATATCGTTTCTGCAACAATTATCGAGGAATAAGTCTACTTCCGATTGCGTCCAAGCTATTGGCTTCTGTTATACTTCGTAGATTGTTCAAAACCCACAAGAAGCAAGTTGGTTTTCGTTCTAATTGAAAATGTATTAAACATACCTTCACTCTCCGCCAAATGTTAGAACACCGTCATACTTGCCAGAGGCCAACAACCATAGTGTTTCTTGACATCAGGGCTGCCTTCGATTCGTTGGATAGGACTGTTCTCTGGGATTGTCTATTGAAGAAGGGTGTGCCTGAGAAGTTTATTAACATCCTAAAAGCCCTATATACAAACACCTCAGGCAGAGTGAGGACATACAACCAACTCTCCCCATTGCTCCATTCAAGAAGTAAGGTTAGTCAGTGTTGCCCAATCCCACCATTCCTCTCCGACTTTGCCATCAATGAAGTTTTAGAAACAGCTTTGATGGATGTACGTTATGGTGATGTGGATCGGTTGCTTGGAGCAAAACTTGTCGACCTTGAGCATGCTGATGATATTGTCTTACTGTACGATAATACCCAAGTCATGCAATCCGCACTTAATCAATTGGTGATCAGTGTCCGTAGGTATGGTATGTGCGTTGCACCTTCCAAGTGCAAAGTACTTTTACAAGACTGGAAGGACCCTGATCCTACACTCACACTAGTTAGTGAGCGGATAGAAATAGTCAAGGAATTCGTGTATCTGGGTAGCTGCATAAGTTCTGGTGGTGGCGTGAGTGATGAGATCAATTCAAGTATAATGAAAGCCAGAGCGGCTTATGCCAATCTAAGCCATATATGGCGCCTTCGTGGTCTTAGTCTATCCGTAAAAAGTCGGATCTACAACGCATCGGTGAGAGCAGTTTTGCTCTATGCTTGTAAAACCTGGTCTCTTTGAGTTGGGGATGTTAGACGACTCTGTGTTTGATCACCGTTGTCTCCGAAAGATTGCTGACATCTAGTGGCAACACCATGTTAGTAGTGCAGAGGTTCAGCATCGTGTGTTCGGGCACAGAGACGACAATCCAGTTGGAGTCACCATCTTGATACATCGACTTCGGTCTCTTGGCCTACTATAAATGTGGTACCAGAGGATCCCACGTCGTGTATTATTTGCCTACACTGGGACTGTCTGCAGAAGGCGGGGAGGTGGTCAGTGTATGATACGGTACTAATAGTATAAAAGAAAACTACAAGACTGGCTTCTGTTGGCCATTCACTACTCTCTGGTAGGATCTTAGAGCTGTTGTAACACAGTGGCTAGAGACGCTATTAGACATGGCTCACAATAGAAGCCAGTGGCGATCCTATTGTAACTTTCTTTTGCTTACTTCATAAAATGAACGTAACTTCTTTGACTGAAAAAATTCCTTCTGGTTGTACTTCTGCTAACTGAACTGCTTTTTCTCAATACTATTTCACTCTCATACACTAATTTCTGTTCGTTATTTTTCTTTTTCATTATATGCACTTAACATTCTCTATCTCATCACAACCTCATTGTTATTGTGTGGTGCATATGTATTTCGTACCCCTTTATACTAATGTTTGTGTCGAGACAAATAAACATATTTATAGTTATTTAACAGACCTAGTTTCTATTTAATAAACAAGAAGAAATTACATTATAAGACATTCAGAAACTTGGGTAATTTTGCATCAAATACTCATCAAAAGTAATCATAGATAACGAATTGAGACTCATTAAGAAAATGATTATCCAAAACGGGTATCTATCGATATTTATTGACAAGAATATAAAACTTAAGCTGCATAGAGCACAGATAACCTCTGTAGAAAAGAAAACACTTTATATAAACATAGATTCCAAAGGTGATATGACTGGAAACATCCTGAAGAGAAGAATTTCCAAGTCTCCCAATGAAACGTTCTTCGCAGCAACCTTGCGTACATAGTTCTCCAACTGATAAATATTCAGCAATAATTTTAAGGACAAATTATGTCACTTGACCAATTGTATGTGGAACAAAGGGGCATCAAATGCATATGGGCCATACAAATCTCATTTGATTTGTGTGAGAGCTGTGATACTGCCCGGGTGCTCAAACCGAAGCACGTGGTTTTCTTAGGTGGCCACTCCCCAAGCCTTCGACCCGAAGGTCTGATCCACAAGGCAGTGGAGCAACGTAAAGAGATGCAGTTCCATGGTAGCCGATGACCAATGATTGGT